TTTGCTCAGCATGTAAAAGACCGTACCATAACGTGGTATACTGACGCTTCCAAAACCAAAGCAGGGACAGGGATAGGAGTATTTGTGTTGAAAATTAAATACTCCAAATCAATGGACACCTACCCTAGCATCCTTCAGGCAGAAATCTACGCTATTAAAAGATGCGTACAATTTATTTGAGATAGGAACTATCGAAAACAGGAAATAGCCATCGAAATATCGATCACCGATATATTCGATGAATAAAAGCACGACTTTTAACTGATAGATTCTATCTAAATTATTCATTAGTCATATCCTATCACTAAATTTTTACGTTTGGTTGTAACAGTTTTGTTTAAATCATTACTTCTAAATGTGTAGTAGTTATATTTTGACTTTAGTTGTACATATATTGACAACGTACAGGGTGTCCCACTAAGAATAGCTCTCGGCTGTATCTCGGAAAGTATTAGCCGTAGGGCTTACGGAAAAAAATATTTATAACTAAAGGGGCTATGAGAAATTGCTGGAAATTATCTTCAAGTTTGTAAAACGGCCGCTAGGGGCCGCAACTGCTATGAAAAATAAGAAAATAGAATTTTTACAGCATTTTGCCTATATAATGAGTACCATAAATAATAGCTTCATAATCTTCAGTAAATTTGGGATTTTTTTTGTTAGAACCATTTTCCCCTATCTGCTAAAATAAAGGGGTGGGGGAAGATTAGATCTATCTTTATTTAAATGTTAATAACCCCGCGGACTCTCTCTGGATGATCAGAATCCAATAAACGTGGGACCGTTTAAAAGACCGTTTCTTACTCTATGTTATACCATAAAAATAATAATAATAAGGTTTTGAACGTAGACGCTAGGAGGCGCTTTCTTACAATTTAATAAACATAGAGCGTTGTTTCAAAAAAATTAAATACGATAGTATATGTTATTTGAGCTGATAGTAAAGAGTAGTAAAAGCCTAAAAAGTCAGCGAAAACCGCATCTTCATATCTTCTTTCAAACCGATATTAGCAAAATTATAATAAATACCAAAAAATAAGACCTTAAGTACCTTAGCTTTACAACACGGTATCAGTAGCCCTCTTAATTATGCCCATTTTAACAAAAAATAAGATAGAAACAGTTAGTTTATTTTAAAATAGACGAAATACAAGTATACCATAATACCAGATGTATTAATATCTAATAATTAACTAACTAATAACAAGAAACGATGATTCAGTGAAGTCATGGTAGGCTTTGGAAAAAACTTGCTTTTGACGTAATAGTATAAACGTCAAATTGTTTCTTCTTTTCTCTTTTAATTGCTTTTTCAAAATGCCTTTATTATTTGAAGTAGTTGTAGTTGTTGGCATTTTGAAAAAGCAATCAAAGGATAAAACTATAAAAAGACTATCAAAATGTTGATCTAATAACAATTTGACGTTTATACTATTACGTCAAAAGCAACTTTTTTCCAAAGCCTACCATGACTTCACTGAATCATCGTTTCTTGTTCACTGTTATTAATATTTTTTATTAGGGTTTTTGGGTTTTTTGGGTCGCTGATCGCGAATCTGAAGTCAAATGGGTCATTGATCGCAAATCTGACGTCAGATTGGCAAGATTGGCCGACCTCAAGAACGGTGTAGCTATACACAGGGCAGGCTATACCTGAGGTCGGCCCTATGGGATCCGTCATCTTGAATTTTGCCAATCCGACATCAGATTTGCGATCAATGACCCATTTAATCTCAGATTCGCGATCGGATCCGTGTTTTTTTTTGAAATTCGTGTCGGCCATATTGGATCCGCCATTTTGAATTCTGCCAATCCGACGTCAGATTTATGATCAGCGACCCAAAAAAAAAACTATACCGATTTTGGTTAAGATCGGTGCGATTTTCGAAAATCATGACTTGAGGTAGATTTTTTGAGATGAGAAAAAATATGAGACATGCTAGCTGAAATCTGATGGGTTTTGAGTTTATCAGACCCATTTACATTACGTTATAGTGATATACATGAGAAGTTTTTTTATTTTTCCTACTACATTTTCCTGAATTTTTACGGATTTCCACCAAGTTTTTGAGGTTAGAAAAAAAATGAGATGTGATAGCGGATTCGTGCTCAGGGTCGAAAAATACTATAGAATATGATGGTCTGGTAAAAATCATATACCACTTTTTTATTTCGTGTGGCTGTGTTATCTTTATTAGCAATTATGTTTAGAATAATTATGCAGTTCTATGTATTAGTTATATTTTATGTTATGTTCTAATAGATATTTACATTTTTAATTTAAAAATATAGTTTTTTTTTTTGTCAAACTTAGTTAAATTGGCTTATGTTGTTTGATGTGAATTTTAAGTTAGGGGAGCGGAGGGCACGTTGTTACACGGGTAAGAAGTTACACGCCTTTTTTACCGAGATTTTTAACTCTTTGGTGGGCATAAGTGGACTCATTTGTTTTCTTATAACATCGTTCATTAAATAAAAATGATCAGTGACCCGTCAAGCGCCAAGCTGCTAAGTTGTGTGCATGTGTCTCAATTTGAACCAAGTAAGTAAACAAATCTTTTATAAAATTTTTGATTCCTGATGTCAATATTTTTTATTTTCTCAAAAATTTTAACTTTTAACGTTCATAATATATTATCTACCTGTAATTCGCAATGTTGTTTTTTCTACTATATATATCCATTAATGCTGAGTTCAATTTATATTTAAAAACGTACCATGGGGCAGGTAGTTACAATTTTTTGGGGTAAGTTGTTACATATAACAACTTACTCCAAAAAATTACCATGCCTCTTGTGTTGTACCGTTCGTCTTCATATTTTAAAAATTGTGAATATTCTTTGTTTTTTTTTCCGAATGAGAAACTATCAAAGAAAAACAGAAAGAGGTACAACTAGTCAAGAAGTTTATGAATCTGCTGCAGTAGACGTACTGCAGAAAAAAACGAGCATTCGTAAAGCAAGCGAAATGTTTAATTTGTGTCCGATGTCCTTGTCCGGGTACCTATGTCAGAAAAAACAAAAACAACGAAAGTTGTTCATTGGGTTACGTTAAACCTAGATTGGTATTCTCACAAGAAACAGAACAAATTAGCTTCTTATCTACTCAAAAGAAATATATTTTGGTTTACTACCAAGAGAAGTCCGAAAACTAGCTTACCAATGTGCTGTAAAATTCGAATTAACAAATATTTCCCCCAGCTGGTTAAAAAATAATATGGTGGGGCCGGACTGGTTTAAAAGTTTTATGGATTGAAATCCTCAACTATCTCTACGAACACCAGACGGTACATCTTTGGGTAGAGGAACGTCGCTCAACAGAACCAACGATTTTTTTGGCAAACTGTAAGGCTTTCTCCAAAAATATGAATTCACTGCTTCGCGCATATGGAACGTTGACGAAACAGAGGTGTCACAACGGTACAGAAGCCTAAAAAATAGTTGCTGCTCGTGGTCAAAAACAGGTCAGTGCGATCAAGATAGAATACTTGCATGTGCCATAAATGCCGCTGGAAACAGTGACGGATTAAGACATACATATTTGCGCCCTAGGCTAATAAAAATTTGGCGCCCATACCCACCGTTTCGTGTGGATTAGCTCAGTGGCGGACTAAGGATATTTCTGACCCGAGGCGGACTTTATGTGGAGCCCCGTACTACCTCACATCTAAAGTTTTGGCTTTGGCGAGACCGGGTGATGATGTAAACATGACGGTCATTGGAGACGAAAAACTAATAAATAGTAATTTATTTTTCACTACTAATGGGCTACAATTTATTTGTATTTATCAACTTCTAAAAAATAAAAGAATAATTATCATTTCACTATTTAATTTACAAAGGAACTATTCTCCCCCATCTACGCAGAAAATTTAACTTAAATATTTCAAAATATTTAAAAAGTTTATTTTAAATATCAAATAATATAGGAGGTTTAATTCTTAATTACTCGTAATTTGAATAAACACATGATTTTAAACACTGTTTTATTTTATCTGCATAAACCTTACATTAAAATAAACATCTTATTATTTTACTATCAACAAATACTCAACAAAACTCAATTTACAAAAAAAGATTCACTCTAGAGTACATAAAACTAAATCGTAACCTAAAACTACATCTATATCTATGTAATAATATGGCCTACAAACTAGGGATAATTATCATGCCGTGGCCGTGGCGCCTATTTTTTTATTGGCGCCCTAGGCTATAGCCTAATTAGCCTATTGGATAATCCGCCTCTAGCTGGAAATTCAGTTTCGAAGATCGTGTTTCCCAGAATGATATATGGGTCTTTTTCTCCATGCTGTAGATATTATAATTACTCATAAATATTAAAAGACTGTTTAAAGTGATCTCTTTTGTTTATAACGCTTTGAAATAATAAAAAAAAATTATTTATTATTGATGATTTTGTTTATTTATCTACCGTAACATCGTGCCCCGAAGATGTAACAACTAGCCCCAAATCGGGGGTAAGTTGTTACAATCGACGTTTTTGGTTAAACTGTTCATTGTGAAAAAATTACATAAATTTTAATAACTTTTCGGTCATATTTTAATAGCTGAATAGACATACTAACGATAAAAGCAACCAAATGTATAAATCATTTAATAGCTTTTGTCATCTTGACAATTATCTAAAAATTGTAACAACGTGCCCCCCGCTCCCTACCCATATTTTTTTCTTTAATTGTGTTTATGTTAATTTTCTCATGATTGATCAACGAACCATTATTTCTTCCCCAGCCGTCTTTGATGCCGTTTTTTTCGATCGGATTGTATTATTACTATATATTAACTTGTACCATGACTACAAACTCAACTATGCATTTAAGAAATCTTGTCTACTTTCAACTAGTCAAAACCCAATGACGTAAACTGGATTAACAATGACGCAGGTGTCGGCTTAAGAAACTAACATTTCTTTAACTCAAAGCACCGAGAGATATTATTCTATAAATATTAACATCAATTAGAATTAAACCCGTTTAAACATCGTCCCGTATGCATTATTAAATCTAATTAAACAATCGGCGATGATTTAATTCTGCGATGATACCCGCCGTTCATTTCATCTCGCCTCTCTAGTTCATTAGTCGAAATACATACCTGTGTAATTAGTGGATTTGTTCTAACCTATAAACGTTTTGCCGGTAGTGTAAATCGCGTTCAAGACAAATATCCAACTGCTTTTAACAGCGAACGCAGGAAAAAAAAATAAAACTCAGGGATAGATAAACGACAGGTTCCAATCTTTTCTAGTACGGTACGGTTTTTTTTCCTCAAATCTAATTAGTTTTTTTATTGTCGTTCGCGAGGCAAAATAATAAATCAATTTACCGTAAACAAAATTAAATTATTTTTCTTTTTTTTTTGTTCGTGTTATTCGATTGACTGATTGACCCGCTATGCGATTCTGGTGAGTTGGAGAATTTTTGGCGAAAATTTGTGATTTTTTTCGGGTCGGGTTGTTAATAAAACTGTAGAGAAAAAAACATGGTGTTATCTGTGAGGACTGTATGTGCTGCCGGCTATTTTATTTTTTCCTATCTGGTTTTCGCGGGACTTGTTAATGGGTAAGTTTTTTTTATCGCACGAACTATAAATTACTGATTTTATATGAATGGTTTAATTTAAATTGCTATTTATATAACTAATGCAATACCTAAGTTGTTTATGAAACAATTTGTAGTATTGGATTAGAAATGTATATTTTTTTAACTAAAATCATATTTATTATTTTCTGCTAAATTTGTAGTAAAATACTACTAGGTTTATACAGCCCCGGATCTACAATTTTTTTGAACCGGGGCAAAAAATTTACAGTAGCGCCCCCTCTCTCCAGCGTTTGCAATAAATGAATTTAAAAAACTTACAAATATCTAGATATAGGCAGATATAGGTAGGCATTTTTTGTAAACGGGACAGAATGAGCCCTTAAGCTTCATTCAGAACCTCCGAATTAGTGGTTTCAATTAGCGTAGAAGTTTGTTCCTTTAATTTCAATGTAAGCATTCAGAACGTCTAAATTAGTGGTAGTCATTTTCAATTAGTAGATAAAGTAAACAAACTTTTGACTTTTCCACTAATTATACTTCAAATTTTGCGGGAAATGTCATTTTGGCCATTGATTAGCATCCGTCAAGAGAAATCGTGGTTAGAAATCAAAAGTTTATTGTTTTATAAGCTAAATATTTGGCTTTCTTTATGGATACAAGATACAACTGGCTACCGCAAGCTGTTGCTAGGATATTCTATTAATTTTAATTTTGTTTTTTAATCATTGTGAATGATCGTAAATTAAAAATTATAAAGTGTAATAACTGAAACCGCTGATTTATTCCACTAATTGCGAGGTTCTGAATGAAACTTTCAAAAACTAACTGAGCGTTTTAAAATTAAATGAATACTTGATAGAAGAACGTAAGATGCATACTAGGCGCTTTGTCTAGCAATTTTTTTGATTTTCAACCGTATTATATTATGATTTTGGCGCCCCTTGACACTGGCGCCCGGGGCAGGTGCCCCGGTTTGCCCCTTCTTAGATCCGGGGCTGGGTTTATAGGGAACAACTTTGGGTGCGCGTCATCAATGACACCACCGTTTTTGGTCTTTAAGTTATTGTCAAGTCTTATGAAATAAGACTTTAAAATAAACTTATAATGCCAAAATTGGGGTTCCTAAAAGAAAAATATCAAAGTTATTTTGAATTTAAATATAAACCTCGATATAAACTAGATGATACCTTATCAAGCCCATGAAGCAAGTCTTATTTCTTCCATCTCGTTATAATACACTCAAGGACAAAATTATCGGATATTTTAAATTTTCAAAATTTTTTTCATGTATATGTTGGAGGCGGATGCCGAATTCGGTATATGTCCGAAATAATTAGACATATGGCGATTTCTCCATACTAAACTTGCCAGATGCGTGCAACTTCGTGGTTTTAAATAGTCTTTATATAACTTCTTTGCCGAGGGAGTTAATCTTTTTTTGGTATAATATAACAACAAAAAATTAACACCCTCCGCATAGAAGTTGAAACTCTTCCGCGTAACTTTGTGGATATAGGTAGGTATATTTAATTATAATCGCCATATGTCTAATTATTTCGGACATAGGCCGAATTCAGCATCTGCCTACAACATATACAAATTTTAATGAATAACATGCAATAAACAAGAAAGAACAATGTATTTTACACATTTTAAACAAGGAATATTAAATTATTATTGACAGTAAATCGTAAAAAAAATAATGTTAAATTTATGAAAATGAAGGATACTTAGTTTCAACTTAAATGTTTCAGAAGTAAGTAAGTAAAACCTTTTGAATGGAAAAATAGGAAATAGTTAATAACGAGTATTCCCACCGCGAGCTCTAATTACTGCTTGCATCCGTCTCGGCATGCTACTAATTAAAGTTTGAATATATTCTTGAGGAATTGCATTCCACTCGTGTTGTATCGCATATCGAAGCTCTTCTGGTGTATTTGGAACAGGATTTCTTCGTCGTATGCGACGTTTTAGGTCATCCCACAAATCCCAATAGGACTCAGTCTAATCTTCGAATCTGGACTACTTCAAGATAACTAGTCGCTATGCCAGCTGCATGTGGTCGAGCATTATCGTGCATAAATAGGAATCTGTCATATCCAATGAGGCCTAGATATGGCATAACATGATCTTCGAGGATATTTTCAATATACCAGTCACTGGTCATTCGTTCAATAATTTCTATGAGTTCGGTGCGACCCTCCCAATGAATGCCTCCCCAAACCATTATACCACCACCTCCAAAACTAATAGTCTATATAAGGTTGCAGCTTCTGTATCGTTCCCCGACTCTTCTATATACATGATTTCGCCCATCTCGCTTTCATAATTGTATTCTACTCTCATCAGTGAATAGAACTTTTTTCCAATCTCCAGTCTCTTGATATGTTTTTAAAACATTTGATACTGTAGACAGTATAGAAAGATACTGTAGACCTCTTCTAAGACGCCGAGCGATTTCTATTTGTCTATATCTTTCCTCATACAAAGTTACAATTTGTACCGTTTCAGCCTCACTGCAATACCTCACTGGTGGCATATTTCTGTTAAATAGTAATTTAAATGTAATTTTTTCAGTATTTAACTTTTGTGGTGCCGGGACTATATCTTCATGTCTTTCTTCAGTTTCATTCTTATAATCCGAAATTTTAATCCAAAATCCGAAACCATATTTGTGGGAAATTCTAAATTCATTTATTACTCATAAAAAAATAGTTATAATAGTTATGGAATACGCATTTTTCAGTAAAGTGAGTAAATTCAAACTAGCATTACCGCAACTAATTACACATTTTCGGTTACCATCAGACATTATTCTTATATCCCGTCCCCTCTAATATATAGCGAATTTTAAATAAGTGCAAATATTACTAGGGATGGTATATTTCGATCCCAGTAACTATGAGTTTTTTTTGCGCGAAAAAAAAATTGAGTATAGGAAGTGTATTTCGAAATTTGTTTGGACAATTTTCAAATTTTTAGTTGAAAAACATATCTGTATTGTGTTGACGACACATACAGGATGAGTCTTAAATAAGTACAATCTTTTTTAGTTTTTAGTTAAAAAAACATGACAAAGTCACGATTTCAATATTATCTTAATGCGATCAACAGGCCGGCGCCGGCGCCGGCGCGGTAAAATACATACCTATTGATAATTTCTGATTTCTGCCGTTGAAGCGCTGCGATCGGAATTTGTTGAAACCACTGAAATGCATCAAGACTATAGGCTAATATGAAATTAATAAAACGGCGTATAAGTAAACCGCGTAAAACAAATCACAAAGCTACAAACGCGTATAAACGTAACCGCTTAAAACGAGTGACTACTGTACTATATTTTTCAATATAATTATTCCAAGATGTCTATTTTATTTTAAAGAGTGTATGAATAATTTTAATTTGTTTAATTAAAAATCAATAACAAATTAAAGAATCGCTTCTGAATAAAGCGAAATATACCTTTCAATCAGAATTAACTAACTACCCGTTAATCTCCATAATATTTATTTCAATTTTTATTGGTTATTGATAAACAATTAATAAATGAAGTTAATTACTTTTTATAGCCGTGCATGGAAAATTGTGAATGAACAATCGGAATATTATTTTTATAGGACAACTGTATGTGAGTTGAATATTGTTTTGTGTTATACAAGGTGAGTCTTAAACAACGAAATGTTAAGATACATGGAATGGGTCTGCCCCGTATCGATCAATGTTAGAATGAGACAGACAAGAAGGATAGCGATAGTCAGGGCAGAAAATAGCTTCTTGTCATTAAAACCGTGTGTTTTTGTCAGTTTTTGGTGCATGTTTTTAGAGATTTTTGAGTGTATTTTTGTTTCTGATGGAGTTTTAAACTGTTATTTATACTTTTTGGTGATTATTACAAACATTTTTCGATCGCATAGACGATTTTTTAGTTGTATTTGTGTTGAAATGGTTGAATCTTGCAGTGCAGTGAATTGTAGCAATAGGCGAACAAAGGAGGTTAAAATGAAGTTTTTCCCTTAGATTAGTAATGGATTGATAAAATGTTATCTATTTTTAATAAATAATAGAATTCCCAAGGACCCCAACTTAAGAAAGTTGTGGTTACTGGCCATTAGAAGGGAAAATTTTACTCCAAGTAAGACCACAGCTATTTGTGAAAAACATTTTACTTCAGAAGATTATGAAGTAAATGTTTATGAAAATAAAGTACTAAAAAAATCAGCTGTTCCCTCTGTTTTTGATTTCCCTGCCCCCCTGAAGAAAGAACATAAGCAGCGAAGGGTTTTAAAGCGAAAACACACAGAAGTTGTTTTAAAGGAAGGAGGTAGGTATTTTATTTGAAATTTAAGTTTTTTACATTTAAATTATTGCTAAATTTTTAACTATATTGAAACTTACAAGTAGGCAAGCTTTGTAGAAGTAACACAAACAGCTGCATATTTATAGTCATTTACAGGGGGACAGTAGACAAGTGGTAACTAAATTTTAAGTTACTGGTTTTGAACACACATCATGCATTTTACTTGTCACTTACAACTAAACTCACTGTTTACACACACATTCAAATGACTTAATATTTAGTTAAAATTTAGTTGACTGTCCCCGTGTAAACGAGCCTTATGACATACACAATTAGACAATGTAAAGTTCCCATATTTATGTCATGGATATGCTGAATATTCAAGTCTACAAAATTTTCTCTACAAGCTTTAGGTAATATTATAGTGAAAGTAGGTAATAGCGTAAGTAATTTTATCAGTTTCAGATCAAACTTTAGATGTTGGCAAAGTAGTAAAGACCCCTGAGGAACCTCAAAACGTGGAGCTTGATGAGGCTATATTGGAAGCTGGTCCTTCAAATGAAGAGTCATCGTTGATATCAAGTGAACAACCAAGAAAAAAGATTTGCAATCCAAGGTAGCTAAACCTAATAGGTAATAATAATTTTCTCTTATCATTAATTTGTGTATTTGCAGAACCAGAAGAGAACCTGTATTTTTTGGGATTTCAAGTTTTCTGATT